ACAGCTGAAACTCACCGTATGTTTTTGGAGAAGTGTCATCCTCGTTGTTTGGCAATGGAACTCGAGAATATGAAATTAGGCAGGCAGTGGTCGGAAGAAAAGATATTACAGGATAGTGCATCGTTTAAAACAGGATGAGGTGTTAAGTGAAGGAACACTGAGAATTATATCCAGATAACTATTTAGTCCTTGATCGCATTGTTAGTCAATGTATATTTACGCTATTTACAGGTCATATTTGCTAGAGCTTGATGTTTAAACAAGACTATGTCGCTGAAGCATGTAAATGCTATTACAGCTTGTTAACAAACCATCAAAGCTAATTAGTTAATATAGACGACCAGTTTTTATTATCGATTGGGCTAGTTTGCCATGAGGACTAATCAATATAACATTACGATAATGCATGTGAGCATTAATCAGAGGACTATTAGAATACAGTGTTAACATAAATATAAAATCGATCGAGAAAGTTGAAGTGGAAATAAGGATTAATAATAATAGGTTGCGTTTTTCTAGTCGGGCTTACCAATGTGGAACTATGGTCTACTATGATATTAGTACTGCTCTAATAATAGACCTAATCCTAAACTTGTCGATTTGTCATGATATAACTGCCTAATCTATAAGATCTTACGTGGAAGTCACACCATCGACTACACCAACTCACTGTATCGTATCAATTACCAATACATGATGAGGAAGAAGGTTAGGCTGGAGAAAGAACAATATATTTAATATGAATAGAGACCACGCCTGCATGGCCGAGCCATGCCACTCGATCAACTCCAGTCCATTCAATTCATTCTTCGCGCCTTCTCCATTGTTGGGTATTTCCCCGAGTTAAATATTGAATATCTATTTTCTGAGTAGTCTCGTGTTCACAGCTTTGTGGATTGTGTGGCTATTGTCCAATGCCACTACAAGCCCACAGAAATCATGTATCATAGCACTGATTATATAAACTTGAAAAATAGTCTGTTGCTGCAGGGGGACACCAGGTGATATGAAAAGTCATCGGTTGTCTTTATAGCAACATATGAAGACCAAGCGCTATAATAGGAGGGATCGAAAACATGAACATTCGAATGTCTCTAATTGCAGATCTGAATAAAACACGGGTTTCTCTCAACATCAAGGACAACGAAGTGGGCAAGCAATGCATGACATCTTTCAAATATGAAAAGATACACAAAACAGGAGTCACGATATGTATAAACATCCAATTCAAAGAAACACTACCAAGTAAGACCGAACAAACTGAGGCGATGAAATCAAGCCAATCTTGTTCCAGTGTGAACGTCGACACCTGGTTGGAGGAGAATATGTGGGTTTTACACAGGTGCTTAAGGCCAGAAACACAGTCCAACCAAAGTGCTATCGTAACTACTACACTCAGAAGTCAGACAGATCATCGCAGCCAAAGACGTAAACAATTACGTCAATATCAACGAACTGAATATAACCTTTAAAAAGTGATTCCGTAGTCGTATTGTGAAAGTCATTAGGGGCTCAGAAATGAATAAGCATATGAGTGACGTCACGGTATGAGGTGACGGCGAGAAACCCCCAAACGTAGACCGCCTACTGTTAAACGATCTGCCCCCAGTTGAATGTCTCCCTGTGAAAGTGTAAGAGCCTTCAAAAGGCCATAATTGCTGGAGGCCAACCATGGATGGACAGTGGGAGACCGCAACACATATTATTCAAAAGGATGGCCTGTGCAGTACCCTTTAGACTGAAAATATACCTGTCAAATCAGCATCATATTTGAAGTGAGATACAGAACAGCTGATACAAACAAAAGAGAGCCTGAGATAAATAGGAAGCCTTCCTAAAAGATCCTGGCTGTAGCTAGATTCAGTGCCAAAGCGAAGGGTGATAAAATATATTTACGTGTCAAGCTAGTGATTAAGACACGTGTTAGTCTGAAATACGAACATAGGTTCATGGAAGAACGCACATATACACGCAAAAAGATTCGCGAATCGAAGGAGCATAACGGTGTGGATCCTATTATTCTGGAGATAGCAGAAACCGTTAATGCCAAGGTCAAAATTTAGGGTATCGGAATGTCACGATATGGACATTTAGCCTCATGAGACTCAAACAACTTGAGTCCCACATCGAAATTCCTTCACCGTTGTCTCCACAGAGCGCAATCCAGGACAATTAACCACAGAAAACATAAATGCCCTCCCAAACTACATTGAAAATGTGAGCAAAACAAACCCACGTCTCCACGCAGAATCACATTTATGCTGTCACCCCAGAATTGTTTCAAACATCCTTTAGAACATGTACATGGCCTCGCCTCGAAGCTTTCAATGTTGTTTTGTTCTCTACTCAAAACAGATATGAATATCTTAGAACCGACCCCGAAACGACAAACGAAGTAGGTGATGGGGTGCGAAAAAAAATCCTACAGAAATGAGCTCTGATATTTTGGATTATTCTCGTGGGACTATCAGAGAGTAAGAGGTGACCTGATAATGGCTCACGATACTAATTACGCCAAGTCACCCTTACGTGTGCACCCTTTCAGAACCCCGCTCCCGCGCCCCTCAATACAGAGTCCGGAAAACCATACGCCGAGACGCAAGGACTCAGATACGAACTCTCTTTTTTATCACAATTTGTTTTCCCTTTCACTGCTCTCCCAGATGAAGTGACCACCGGGCTCTTCGGTTGGTATGTAGCGTGGCGTCGAGTTGAGGTTAACTATGGACACCGCTACCAAGAAACACGTGTCAAATAAATCAGAAGGCGAAGGTTGGACGTAACCAAAAAAATCCATAAAATCTCCGAGAAGCCAAATACCAGAAGGCAATTAATGGACCAAATCGAGATATATATTTGCTGGCGATCTCGTGGTATCGAAAGGATACCGAGATCGTGCCAGGATACAAGCTTGGTTACAGAACGTAACCGAATTCGCGCGAAGTTACAATCAAAGTGTGTGTATAAGAATGGAAGCACAAAATAGCTGTCATTAGCACAGTCAAACAAAAGCATATTAAAATAAACACTGGTACAGTTGGTTATAATAATGATTGTTTTTATTAAACCAGTCGTGTTCTCGTGATAGACGAGGCCTAACCGACGGATTATGATCTCGCACTTAGACTATTTGTGCCTGATCCATATTTCACAACTTATTTACCATTATTAGTACCACATAACTCCAGCCTCTTCCAATCTCGAATATTGTCACGTTTATTTACCTGTTGTTCATACACTTCGACCTTCTCTTATTGTTTAGATTACAATGAAATAATTTATTTAATTATTTACTTCCAGAAATGGTCGCCTCTTCTTAGTGTTCTACTGCAAATCGTTTAATAATAACCCAAGGCACAATCCTAGGTCCTCTTCTCTTTTTACTTTATGTAAATGAATTGCCAACTGTAGCAAAATCATCCGTTCTACTCTTCGCTGATGGCATAAAGATTTGGAGACCCATACATAGTATGTCGGATAGAATAGTATTACAGGACGATCTTAGCTCATTGGTGGCATGGTTAGACAGGTGGTCACTAGAAGTAAATCCTAATAAGAGTGTAGTGATGCAGTTAAATAACTCTGATGAATCGTCTGACTATACACTACGTGGATTCGTGCTACCCAAAGCAAGAAACTATAAAGATTTAGGAGTCATATTAAGCAATGATCTCGAAACCACTAGTCACTGCAAGGCTGCTGCTGCAAAAGGCTATAGGGTATTATGGTCAATTCGTAGGTCTTTTCAGTATTTAGATGATGAAATGTTTGGATTACTATACCCGATTTATGTGCGACCACATTTAGAATACGGGATTCAAGCAGCGTATTTTTGTTTCAAGTATGAAGCAGATATGCTAGAAAGAGTCCAACGACGAGCTACTAAGATGGTGCAAGGTCTATCTGGCCTATCTTATGAAGACAGACTGAGACACCTTAACTTATTTCCGTTATCTTACCGCAGAATACGGGGTGATCTAATATTGGCCTATCGTATACTGAACGATGACCTTGGTACTAATATGTCTTATCTTTTGCTTCCGTCTAGAACCGATCATTTGAGAGGACATTCAAAGAAAGTTCAAAAACCGAGGTCAAACCGTTTACGTCTGGAGTTCCGTTTCTCGCACCGAGTAGTGAATTACTGGAATTCCCTACCGGAACACGTAATATCAGCACCGTCTGTTAATATATTCAAAACGAGATTGGACCTCCACAGTATTACAAACTGCAAGGATTAATATAGGTCAACAGACCTCCTATCCTTATTACTGAAGACTGGAGACTGATTTATGTAATCGACTGCCTTTTTTATCACCTATAAGCCACTTCCGAAAACCTTGGGTCTCACGGAAATATTAGGAAGCGGAGAAGCGAAAACCTCAACTTGTTTATACTGGCTTGTGACAAGGATATTAGACTTATTTGTGTATCGTTTTAGAATAGCATCGGAACAAGTTGTTACTATGTCAACGTTATAGTCATATATTTAAATGTTGAGGTCAAGCGATAGCCTGACACTGGAAAATTCATTGAACGCTTTTGAAAGCGAAGAGATACTTCAAGCTTTAGCAGTTGCTGGACTACTGAGTCAAGAGAAGCTTTATCTGGAGCTTACAAACGAAGCCGTAAATTTCGCGAGAAAAGAAAAGTTTAGTTTTTCGCAGTTATGCGCACTGGTTTCGATAATTAACAGGGTGTTGAAAGAACTTTCAAGTAAGGAGTTCGGTGATAATAAGTAAAACCTCAGGTTCTCCATACGACGACATACAGAATGTCCTAGATGTATCGGACAAAATTATGATGAGTTACTCTATCCAGGTATTGTGACGTAACTCCAAGTTTTACAGTAGAGGATTATCTCAACAGAGGCCACCCCACTGCATTGAGTTATTTTCGATCGCTGATTCTTTAAAATGCGTTGAATTTCTCGTGGACTCATTGTTTAGACATTGGAGACTTTACAAGTTCGCTTTAGCTCCAACAGCACGCCTTTTACCTCAGCTCATTTACGATACAAAAGGTGAGTCAGGGATTAATAACCGACAGTTGAAGTTTTAATATGCTATTTACAAATACTTCTTATAATCAAGCCTTAGTTGTTTACCCGAAGATCTGTTAGTTGTGTCCCATGTATAAAAATCCTCGAATACAGACTAAAGTTTTATTGATGAAATATCAAATCCATACGAATGTTTTTGAAATCCATAATTGTCTATTCAAATTCTGTTTGCAAGGTTCTCAGTGAACATTAAACGACAGAATCTTAACTAGCCATCAACTCATATTTCATTCATCACTTAATTTGTATCACTGAGGGTCATTTGGTGTAAGATATTAAAGCTTTTGTAAACAGAAATGGAAGAGCCCAATCACAGTAAACATCCTGACATTCATCACTGAAACAAAACACTATTAGGAAAATAGACTCTTTACTAAGGTTATAAACTTTATTAGTTTATATCGTCACTGTGCTTAAGCTTTATACAGCTTACAAATCGAACCTTAGCCACTGCATTTGAAACGACTCTAAGCTCCCAAACTATTTGAAAATGAATTTCACGATTGTAGACTTATCCCATGTGACATCAGGTTTATGGATTTATTTTGGTCAGAAATTGTAAAAATGTTTTCAGATTGAAGATGTGGTGACCAATGCGTTTTAATAGGCTGACACTAAGACAATAAACTCGTGATCCAAAATAGCCCTTTTAGTATACAACATATTAAAATGTCTTGTTATTCAAACTTTCATTTAAATTCTCTTCGATTGTTAAAAACTTTTTGACAGATTGTGAATCGGAAATTGTCGACTTGAAACCATCAGGTAAAATGAAAACGTGTTGAACCGAGTTAACGCCATTTTACTTTCTAGGAACCGATTTATTATACTCAATTTTAAAATATGCACTCGAAGATCAAATTGAAGTCAACAAACATTAAAATCAAATCGGTAATTGATTTGTGACAAATTGTTCTAAGAGGTATCCTCTTAATTCTTACATGTGATACGTTGCGTAATCAACAAAGCGAACTTACAAAAACACTTACTGTTAATAAATGACTACATACACATCACGCCTACTTCTTCGGAATCGGTTGATTATACTGGTAAAAGTGCCAAACTTACGTAGAAAGTATGTATAAAACTAAACTATGTTGTATTTCATGAAACGATTTCTATGACTACTATGATTAAGAAGCTAAAACAACGTGTATGCACTACTTTAAACGAAAATGATTTGCTTTGCTCCTAAAAGCCGGTCAAAATCATCTGGTGAAATAGTTTAGTATACTTTATGACATCAGTTACTACTACTTGGTTAACACACTAAATACAGTTTAACAAAGCAACGACGACTATAATAGCTTGGCAATAATAGTCCTTATAATAGTGTCTAGATGGATGTTTAAATATTCATTGGGAAATGAGTTTGCTGATGCCTTGGTAAAAACAAGAAATCAAGTTTGAAACTTTTGTTTATAGCCTATGAACATGAATTACGTCCATGTGAAATTGTAAGGATACTAGTTTGCGAGGTTCAAGGACTTAAAAAGACTTCGTTATGTATGATTCTAATCTCTATATTCGTGATTGTTTGTCAGTTAGTTTGTGACAAAATTACAGTTACAACCAACGTCAAACAGATTAACAATTTTTTATTCTTGATTAGAAGAGACGTAACTACAAGTGGAAATGTTCATACATTTACAGAAAATAGGAAAGCTTTCTGGTAAGACTTTTGAATAACACTTGGAAGTCAAGGAGGAAAGTAATAGTAGTCACAAGCAAGATCCTGTTTAGTATGGCTAAGAATATCAGGGAGCAATTAGGGTTTAAGCAAAAAATCACAATTGGACTTTAAAAAACATAAAGTGGAAAGAAAATAGGTTTTATTTTTTTCGTGAGGGCTTAACTTGAGGTAACGTTAACTTAACACATCCTGGGAAATTACGCGATACTTCTTCATCTTTCATTGCACGTATTAATTCTCGTTCTCTGTTGTTTGTGGATTTGTCCGATGTAAACTGAAACAACGCCATTTTCGATGCTAATTTTAGGCAAATAGAAGAAATAAAAAAATTCTATACTAGTCATAAACACGAAACCATAATAAATGTCAGTCAGCCACTCAACTAATTGAAATTTATCAAATCATTTTGCTTTGTAGCAGCTTAATTTCACGTACCATTAGACAATTAAGTGAACCCCTGGCGAATGTACATTTTCATTTTGCTTGTCCGTGAACAGAGCGATTAGACACGTTGATCCCGCTGACTACGTCGTGCGTGATGTAATTGTTGTCTCGAGTTTTGCTAATTATATGAAATACATTGTCCTATAAACCTTTGTAGTTGGCTTCTGATTTTACAATTCCTGACAGAAGTTGAATCAGTAGTGTCTAGAACATCTGATGTTACGGAGCACCTCCAAATAGTAGCAATTTGGAGCGCAGTTAGTTAAAAGATTCCTCAACCAGTTCGATAAATTATAAGTCATCATACAAGCATACTGTTAATAAGCTACCAACAGAGGCTATTCTAATTTTTTTCTTTACGCGAAAACGATGCTTAGTAAACGAGCTTTTGCAGATGCCATTATGAAATTGCTGACATTACATGAAGTATTACGTTGTATCAACTGAGAAGCACACTAGATAAAATAATAGTTAACACACAGTAGCGTTTACATATTAAGTAATAAGTAGAAAATAATTTGCACGGTTTAAACAGTATATACTTTAATCATTGCATCAAATTAATATCAAAGTCCAAGAATATCATGGACTCCATGATGGATATACCAAGCTGTACAGAACAGAAATTACCTAAGACTTTTGTAAACCAGTAACAGTAATGGAAAACGAAATAAAATTACGCTAGAGAATATGTGGAATATAATTTTGAAAATATTTTAGCGCAATAAGAGAAGACAGGCCGAAATTATTGGTCGAGGAGAATATGAAAATTTAATTCTTTAATCATTTTCAAGCTGGAAAAATGATTATTTTAGTTGAGGATTGATAACCATTCTAAATAACAGATAATGATGGCAAAATAATTTGTAAAACAGTAAACGGATAAACAGATGTTGTTTATCATACCTTTTCCTCGCTTTGTAGTTCCTGGGTTCAGTTTTACTCTGAACTTATACTTTAATAGAACTGAATAAGGAGCACAGACTGGAATAGCATACAATAGTAAATCATCATCATTGGGCTGACCAGTCAATGAATTTAACAATGAAGTTAAATCATCTTTCGATTCAACTGGCATATCTTCGTCATCATCATTATCATTAGTTTTTACATCATTAACTTCTGAAGATTTTAAATCCTCTTCACTTTCATCTGATTTGACAGGATGATTGTCAATTTCACTGCTTGAATTACTGAATGATTCATTGTTATCACAGTCAGGTTGATTATTTTGTATACTATCTGAATTGTGAACAACTTGAGTATCCCGTACAGATTGTGGGATTTTAATTAAATTTGACAAGTGATCACGTTCAAGAATTTGGTGATACTGACTTGGTTTGGCGTCATCTCCCTATGATAAATATAATGAAGTCATCATTAATATAACTAATAACAAGAAGATTAAAGAGTTTAAAATTTATACTGATTTACAAGAAAATTTTGTAATGAATTAGAGGACTGCACTGACAAAACAGTATAGGACTTCACATAAAAGTACAGAAGTTCAAGATGCTGGCAATGGGTAGGGGTAAAATGAGAGAAAAACAAGACATACAACGAATAAATAAACTAGTCAGAATTTAAAAAAAGTGAGTAATGAACACTTCCGTCCTGTAGTGGTGAATTTTGTGAGCCGCCACTGACCTTTCTTATTCTAAAGAACCTCAGTCGTAAAGTATACGTAATTGATTTGCTAGGTTCTACGTTCCTTATTATTGACAAACTAACGTGCGCGAATACCATGAGGTGATTTGACCACACTTTTTTTCAATCTACTTATATCAGTGGTTGTTAAACATGTGTAATACATATCATAGCCAGTACTTTTGGCACAATGGTACATCAGTGACTGAGTTGGCTCATGTAACTAGAGCTCTAAATTTTGCTTCAACACTGCATATTCAGTTCAACTTATGGCATTGATGTTTGGAACATAGTTATGATCGAATACCTATAACTCTGCCGTCACATGTCTTTAATAAGGTAAATATTATACAACATTAAGGAAGAACGGATTACATTCCCATGTAATAAACTTATGTTTCCTGACAATACCAACAATTAATGTGTCAGCAGTTGCGAGTAATTTTTGTCTGTTATGGAGTTTAAGTGAAATCGAACAATCTATAACAAAACTGATTGAGTACTCAGAATAACAGGGGAAAATAAATATTGGTGCAATAAATTATAATTTAGTGTTTCGAATAATGACTGTCAAGCTAATTTACAAATAGTACGACGAGGATGAATCGACATGAAAACAGCAGTAAAAGTGTTGAAGAAAATTGATTTGAAATGAATATTGTTAAGATATTTGCGAAAATATAAACAACAGGAGCATCTGGGATGTCACGTATGAGTGACGCTTTGACGGTGTAATTAATGAAATGCCTTAAAGGTTCTCATGATTTAGAATTTAATTGAATGTATTTGATGACCATAAATAAAAATAAAACCGTAGTTATGAATAAAGCATTCACAAGAGGTGCTAAAAACATGCCAGTGCTGTAATAAAAATACCGAATGATATTTAAGGAAGATTCTCATGAAAATCCTATGTAATTTGATTTTTTTTACCTGAAGTATTTTCATACGAAGATTTCTTTCCTCGTCATCTTGTTCGTTATATTTTTGTTTAATTTTTTTTAGCTTAGCTTTCTGACCACGTTTTAAAACCGGTTGACCAGTTGATGGTAGTAATGACTCATTGAGTCTCTTGTTTACTTCAATGGTTTCTTTATTTAAATTTGTTGTTTTCTTGGTTGGTTTCGATTTTTCAACCTTTTGACCTCTTGTTCTAACTTTTTTAAAAGGATTTTCTGATAAAATCTCCGATACATCAGGATCTTTATGTCTGAAGGAAAATATAATAATCAAGGTTATTCTTAAATACGGTTTAAAGAAAATAAAATTTTCAGAAGTAGTGACATCTAAAAAGATTTCAGTTCATTTATTAAAAAGTTTATGAGAATGAACTAATTTTCCAGTTACTAGCAACCTATCAGGAACTACATACATATTTATGTACCAGGTTATAAGTGTTAATCATTGGGTAGTAGCAAATAATGTTGCAAATGAGCCAGACTACCCGCTTACCGAGAAAATTGACGGATTAATTCATGAAGGAATATTAGTGTTTAAGAGTTTTGTATATCGAGAACTATTTTTTAATGATTAAGTAGACAACTAAGTGAATCATGGATAGATTGACTATCAAAGAATACTACATGACCAAGTTGTGGCCGACATTAAATACATCACATACAAAGGGCAATCTAAAGAGACAAATTAAACGTAAGTAAAACGCTCAGATTCCACCACTACAAGACATCCAACCAGAAATTTCACATTGATCGAAAGAATACCACCATTGATCAATCTTCTACGTTAACCCAAACTACCATAGTCCTTGGTGCAACACTAATCAACTGTACAAGTCAATCCTTAAAGCGCTGGTACCCACTTAGTCAAGTGAAAAACACATCTCAAACACTTTTAGTTTTCTTTCTCCAAGTCATTTCGGAGAGTTATCCATAAGCGTTTTTGCCCATTAGGAGTAGATTATGCATATACAGTAATTTGATATGAGAACTTATAATATGTCTCAAGGAAAAATTGAAGGTGGGAATAAAAGTTGAGAAATTTAAGATCAAACGCAACAATCAATATAAAGTATAATAACTTTAAATACCAAAAAAGATAAACACTGAAGATATTGTTAGTAACGAAATAAGCTTAGCTTGTAAGAATATAAGATTTGAACACCGTAACAGATTAGCGAAAACAGCCACACTCATTTTGAATACCTTGGGAGATCATTTGCTAAATCAAGTTGAAGAAAAGCATCAGGAAATGCTGTAGTTTCTTCATCATTCTGGATAGTTAATGATTCGAACTGATTAAGGGGCATTTCGTAAGATGGGGTGTCTATGATGATGATGCGACGCTCTCCTTCATGTTTAGCTATAGAGTCCTCATGTAACTGAAATCGTAAAACATATGGAGAAAAGAATTACAATGAGTTGCAACAAAGCATAATTTATCTGGCCCATTTAAACTACTTTACAGTTATAAAGGATAAAACCACAGTGACTACAAACTTTTGATAGAGAATAGATGAACTGTGGCCAACAATGGAATCTAGGATGCACGTTTTGCCCTATTTGGAACTTGTTAACTGGGTGTACCTACCTGGATTCTAGAGTTGATGTTCACTTCAAGACTAGAATCCAGGACCATTCACATCAAAGGCCATCGCGTTATCCACTAAGCTACTGAGTCCATATAGTAATTCACATGTCCAGCAGGTATGAGTTTTAATTCGAGTTACCAGCAGAACGCTAAATTCCCTGTATATGTAAATAGGAATTGATGAGAATCATAGATGAAACGAAAACCTTCTTCATGAGTGTCGAAACGCCTCAAAAAATAAGATGGTTAAATTTATTGTCTTTCATGTATTGGATTAGTTTTATTCTAATTATGCTATTTTACGACGTAATAATTAGATTTATTATTATTCCTGACTCAAAACACCTTGATTTTATAAAAACAGCCATTTCACAAAGAAATAAACATATTCGTGTCGACTTCAATAGTGTCACTTTTGTGTTTCGTTTTTTGAACCATCGTTGCAACTTTAATGATAACAATACAAAAAACTTTCATGTTCAACCCTACTTATGGCTGAAAAGTTAAAGTCATCTGTAAATCTAGTAGGCACCCTTCGAATAAAATGAATTCCTATTGTTCTACAAGTCTTTTTATTCGAGCTATTTTAAGTACAGAAACGTAAACTTTTACCTTAAACATAATTCCAAATCCATAGTCGAAGGGACATGGAGGTAAATAGTTTTTCTTCCCACGTATCATAAATGCACCAGATGTAAGGTATTCACCACTTGGAGCTGTTTTTGAAACTTGATCATGATGGACCCACCAAGCTCTTGTTAGAACATGACTTTGCCATGCAGAACTTAGTACTACCGCCATATTTCCAGCTTCTAACAAGGTTTTTGGAGGGGGTAATGGTAAACTGTGTTGATGCAATAAGTCTACACAAAAAAATTAGAAAAAGAATTTGATTAACTGTTTTAGTTAGTAGGAAGATACAGGTATACTAATGAAGTGTTATATGGTGATAATTAGTTTCATTGAGATAACCAATGAGCAACCTAGAAGTGTACTGACGTGTGACTTCGAATGTTACGGAAATATATGGTTGAAAGTATACAAACTTATTGAAGTAAAGGAAATCACTATGGACGTACCTGTAAAGTCTATAATTATAAACTGGATATTATTTTATAATTATAATGTAGTAACCGTGTTTTACTTTAAAATTGTAAGTTAAAAATAATATAAATCATTTGCCGATTACATGTTTATGTACTCGGATTAGGGCTATATAATAGATATGAGAATTAATGATGCTACCCGGCTAGCTGGAGCAAATTAGGTGGAGAGGAGTTTGAACTAGGTACCCATATGGTTGAAAGTCGATAACTTTAGTCACTAACCCACTATTCTACTTTAACTTACCCTGATGTTTTGAAGAATCTACCTCTTCAGAAGTTAAATGTCGGGCCTTTATTATAACAGTGCTAGCACCATGTATATCTGCATGAACAAATATATCGCCCGGTTTTAAGTAACGTTTTACCAATACTTCATTTTGTTGTGAATCATGACCAGCAACAACCAAGTAATTTTCTGAACTGATAAACCAGAAGAATTTTTCAAACCTTGTAAAACAAACAAAACTTTAGTGAAATATATGGATGCGTACCAAAAATATAATTATTTTCCCATAAATTGAAGTAAATAAAGAATGAAAATACCTATTAAGTTGTACTATACATCAAGCTCTAAATTGCAGGATTGAATCAGCAGTCTAGGCACTTAATTATCAACTTCCTCCACTTAAACTTGGACAACTGTACTGGCATACCATACTTTTTAATTGGTGTTAAGTGAATGAATACACTTAGAATTTTTATGTGGGTTTCGAAGACACAGTATACTGATAAAAAGCGACCAAAATAAAGGTCGTGGATTAATTCGGTACAATAACCGTTCACTTTAACATACGATTATATTTTCACAAACTCAGTTATCAATTACTCCAGTATGCCATTACACTATATCGTTATTATTAATGGCTTTATTCAATATTATATTTTCGGTGCAATATAGAATTCTCAGCATAAGGTATTTCAGAAAGTTTCTTTTGCAGAAGGAAAAAAAGTGAAAGAAACTGATAACTACGTACATATACACATAAGTTAAGTAGATAAACTACCTAAAATTAAATGAAATGTTTTTTAAGACGGTTTGAATCTGAATATTTTTTTAAAATTCGAAATATGTTTAGGAATACAAGTTATTGACTAGGTTAATTCTAACAACCTATTCGCCACATAGTATATTTGCCAGATAAGGTGTACGTCAATCTTGTCTTTATCTTTTCTCCACATTTTCAGAATGAGATTATTTGAGAAGGATCTGTTAAAGATGCTTGTGAATGGATAACACAGATCAGTACGCCTATTAAAAAGGAGGTTTGGAATTCATGAAGTCCTAAACAATGGGAAGAGCTAAGTGACTGGAAAAATTTCCGGACATCAGTTTCAGTGAAAATCGAAACATAACTATTATTCGAACCTGTGGATATAGGAAGCATGAAATCAGATGAGTGACGTACAAAAACTTCTTTAAGTCATAAACATACCAGTGGGTGTCGCTTCTAATGTGTCTTTCACCTGTAAGCTCTTTAGATAGTTTACACATACTTGAAGGGCTTTTACAAGATAGGAGTTTCCGAGTAAAAATTGAGTTCAGATGTCTAATCTCTAGGTTTACTAGACCATTTAGCTTCTGAACTTCTGCATTCTTTCTTTTACCCTCCGTAATCGTTTTAGTTGTGATGTAAGTCGATAGAAACTTACAAAAACAGTTTCAGTGGAACAGCAAATATCAAAACAGAATTTAAGATAAAAAACGATATTATCAACAGTATTTTTGAGTGAGTCATCTGTAAATAATCTCCAGTAATTCGTACGAAACATGTTTTTCATATTTTTGATATTTTCTTCTGAGAAGTTCTTGTATTTGACTTTCGTCGTCTGATGTAAGAGTGGAATCTTTCCAAGCTTGCAGTATACTTTAGATAGAACATGAATTATACAATGATCAGAACTAGACAATGGAGAACGTTTGCGAGTCACATATGTTCTCACATCAATAATGAAAACCTAGTCTACATGGGCATCCAAACAAGTGGAAAAATCTATTAAATTTTGGTGACCTGGTGATGAAAGTTGCAATCACATAAATTGAAATCACATACGATGCAAAGTGAACCACTGAAGGTAGTAACAGAAAATTCAGTGAATTCCTTAACAAGAAACAGATAACCCGGATGATGCGCAGTCCGAAGTCACGTGGATGTTGATAACAATTGTATTTAATCAAGTTTTAGACATCTTAAAGTGTAGCATACAAAAGTAGATCAACACCAGTTTACGTTTACAAATCTAGCTGTTAATCAATCACTCAGTATTGGTATTTGTTCACTATTAGATCGACCAAATTATAATTATTGAAATGTATTAGCCAATCGCTGAAAAAATCTGTGTATGAAGCTCTATTTCTTTCATAAAATACAAATCTTTGCAGTTATAGGTTAGACTTTGTATTCCAATTAGTTGAAGGCGAAGTCAAAAGTATTGAGACCATAGTGTTGAAAAGTAGTTGCGATTACCCTTATGTTTACTGTTATGTTGGTATTTCGGATTGTGTAGCAAAGAGAGGGTAATAACACATATCCAAAACAGGATTTTAGAGCTGTGACAGGAACAAGTATGGGATAATTAAAAGCCTCAGTTAAAGGAGTCAACTTTAGGCTGAAGTTGGGTATGAAAAAGGAGTCATCTGTCGTTCATCGTTCATAATAGTCAGAGTTATAGAAGGCTCCTAAATTTAATTATCGTGTCATATAGAAGGATGTAACAGATAAGGCACAACTTTGTCCCATTATATCTTTGATCTCATACATGTCACTATTAACCATAACTGACTGTCGTTATAAAATAGTTCATAGTGCATGTAATTAATATCAACTTGGAGCACCAAATGATTGCATTGAAAAGTGTCAGGTTCAGGGAGAACGAAACTAATCTTGATAATTAACTAAGAACATCTCGAAAAAGACACTTCATTTGAGAAATATTAAGAACATTTTACAAAAATGCATAAAACGAACGTATCTGTAGATATTAAGGGGCAAAGCATTAACCTTAGTCATTGCATACAGATAAACATACCACATTGGTTTACGAACTTCTGTAATTTGTGCAACAGTTTTAGCGGTTTTCATTTTCATTTCAGCATTGTGTACGGCTGATTTCAAAACCTGTTAAAGACAGTTTAGATAAAGATACTTTACATCTATTAAAATAAGAAGTTATAATTGACTAATGGGTTGATTTGGGTACAGCGATCGTACAGAGTAATGCTTCGTAAACAAACTACAATTAACTCTTTAGTCTGTTGTACATACAGTCAGATGAATATCTGATTTTTTTTTAAAAATATTGACATGAATAGCTATTTCACCATATAATTAGAATGTATTTCTTTTTCAAGCTGCATTCAAATCTGAGGCAAATTAGACTCCATCTGGTCTAATTCTTATATTTACGCTAATGCAAATGGTTTGAGATATTAAAGTATGTTTACCTAGAAATTCACGGTAAAACTGATGGCAAGCACAGTAACTAATGAATAAAATGTCAACGAATAATAAATATGGAAAAGATGACGAAATCAAAGTGAACTCAACTAATTAAATGAAGCCATTGTTTGGAATCATCATCAAAACTATTTGTTTTGAACAGATTTGTATAGGTTTTGAGCTACATTATACGCGTAAAAGCTAATAACAATACGAAGTTGCTAAAAGCAGAGTATTTTAAATTAACGACCTAATGGTGAGAGGCAAAGTACTTTAAAGACAAAGCCACAATGGCTAGTACCTTTACTATGATTGTGAGTAGTACCGTTTATTTAATTACAAAATGGTCTGAAACTTGGCATAAATATAAATCAATCTCAGTTGCTATATTTCAAAGGACCATAAGGAGAGGATATTATTAGATTGAAAAGCAATAAAAGCCGAATAATACTGATAGTAGCGGAAAATAAGTACAAGGAATACAGTTCACAAGTCAATAGAGAAAATAAGGAAATAAAGATAGAAAAGTACTAATCTAAAGATGTATAAGAGAATAAAAAATGAATACATCTGTGACATTAAGTCTGGTTATAATGCATACCCCAGCTACAGTTTAAAGTAATAGATTGCAAGACTATTATCAGCTGTTTACTAAATATCCCCCTTCATTCCTTAAAACCACTACTAAGGCTATGAAACTGAAAAGAAATATTTTTTCTCGACAACTACAAATGATAACTAACGCAAGGTATGATATCATTATACTCCTAGATTTAGTTCACATTTAACGTTGCACACTCGTGAACGATAAGATTAAAGGAGAAAACAATGGTAAAATTTTATTACTTTGCGCGAAACGCTGATAGTTTTTTCTTCTTTTTTACTAGCAGCTCGTTTCTTATCATAATATCTGGGAAAGGAAGAAATGTGGAAAGTAAAAAAAATTGTGATAACATTCACTACTAAACGTATGAAAAATAGTAATATGTATGTTAAGTAACTTTATGAACTGATACTATGTATTTATTTGACTACTTTTTGCCTTCTTTCATCATTCCCCTACGTTAGTAACCACTGTTAATAATAAAGAGCCACAACTGAACATGCGAAACTGTCCCACTAAATAACACTTTTGGAAAGTATAGGAAATGAACACTGTTTCACTACTTGTTTCAGATTAGGAGAGAAACTGCCTAATCATCAAAGAACTAGTTAACTTACTTTTGTGCATTGGTTAGAGCATTGACGTCTATATCTACAACTACTTCTGTATATTCATGTTTCTTGCCTGATTTCATTAAGGTTTCGTTAACATCGCTTGAACTTTCAAAAGGATCTCTGAAATAAATGAGATGAAATTTTTTGAGTATAAAAAGTTAGATACAAACAATCGAGAGGAACAAAATGCAATAATAAACTACTTTAAACGTATGACAGCCTGACTTGTTTGTAATTTTAACTCGACAATATGACAGGCAAGTGGATCATCACGTTGTTTTGCGTCTTCAACGATTAATGCTAATTCTTTCCAGTCTATTTGATTTGATAATGCATGATTGATCATGATAATAATATTGTCAACCTGAAGATAGAAATGAAATACAACTGCACTCAAAATCGGCATTACAATTATTTTAGAAATTGAAGTGATATACAGCTAATTAGTTTTGCTTTGAATTTACTTAGTATTGTGTGAATCTTCATGTATAATGCAGAACCAACTTAAGTAGGCGGAAAACAATTCCTACTATGTTATGTTGTGAGTAGGATGTACAAAACTTTGACATAAAGCTGTAGCCTGTAGTATTTAAACCAAACTAAATGAGAAAAACACGTTGATTACGCTGGAAGACTGACACCATAAATCCTTCAAAGTTGAAAAAATTTAAACTACTGTTCAGTACCTCTGTGGTCCTATGGGAAAGTCCTGGTGATAAGATCAGAGGCTTCACACTTGGTATAGGAGTTTATTGAGGATGGTACAATACTCAGAAGCTTTGAAACGTAGGTAGAAAAGTAGTTAATATCTTCTTAATTATAACAGATGATTAATTAATGAATACAGACTTAAAATTAACGAGTTTTAAAAAGTTAGCAAGCTGAATATGAACCAGGTATTTGTTGCTTCGCTTGCTAATCAAGTAAAAATATTTTCTAAAATAGAGACGAGCTTTAAAAGCAAAAGAAGAAACTTACAAGCCGACGATTAGCTTCAAGCAGGTAAGCCTTTTGCATATCTAACTCCTGAATAAGAAAGAAAAACGGGATACGAGATAAAGGTTATTAAAGGAACAGGCTATAGTGAACAATTCAAGCAGAGTGGACACAGTAAGGTTGTCATATGAAACTCAAAGTGGCAGCTGGTAATGAGACGACTAGAATAACCTCTCACCATATATGTATGGTATAGTCATGCCGAACAACCGTAGAAATAAAAGTTTTGTAGTTACAGTAAACCATGTTAGTTTCGAAATTCATCGTAGTCGGAATTAACATCACCAGAGTTTATGACGAACGATTGGTATACAGACGGGGTCCTTTAACTAGAGAATAATCTCACATACCTTTTAATGCCTTTTATCCATTAAACTATTAAGTATGCGGAATAACAGTTGCATCAGAATTCAATTTGCAACGGTGAAAAACAAAACACTAATACATTTGTAAGCATTGAAATTGTAACTAGATGAAGAAAACCTTTTTGTTCTGGGAACATATCGATGGTCAGGATTGCTTGATAAATCCATGAAATAATAATAATGACAATAATCATTATAATAATTATTATTATATCATCCGTAATGTTTTTTATGTAAATGGCTTATCCACAATAGTATATTTCTGAAGGCGAGTTAACGAATCATTATACGGAGGGAATTACTGATTTTTTATGGAAAATCAATCTATCCTATTACAACTTACAAATTTCAACCCAGCATGGATATCAAACTACAGTGAAAGTACTGGTAAACCTATAGTCTATTAGTCTCATAATTTAAATTTCAACTTACTTGTTCAGTTTTTAGTAACATTAAACGCCGTTCCTGATCTTTTTTAATATTTTCAACTTTTCTACTAGCCTTTTGTTCCTAAAAATAAAAAGGCTAGCAGTTAGGCAGCGGAAGTAATGCATTACAAGCAATAATGGGTCAACTAATAGAAGAAAACAGAATATTTTTGTGGAGATATACACCAAATATTGAAGAAGTGTAAGGAAATGTTGTCGAATATAATTTGTTCTTTGGACAATATTTTGGAATTACGTTCTACTTCCAACTTTCATGTCCGAAAAGAAAATGAAATAAATTAATTGGTGCTAGATCACACAGTGCCTCTATATATATATATATATATATATCATTTGCTTATCATTCATGAGTTGTCCTTTGTATACTCCATCATTCTTCCAATCCTGTTGTTATTCCGATTGCTCTCTTGTTTTCCTTCCTCTTCTCTTTATTTCATCCTTCTGCTGGTAAGCCTTCCATTTTCAATTCCAGTTACCTGCTACTCATATCTGTTCATGTTAGTAGCGCACACCACAATATTAGTATCACATACATATATTTGCCAGATATACCTTTCTGGTAGGTCCCAACAAATTCGACACATCAGTCCAGGATATCTTGCTGATTGTATCTACCTATCTATCATTATAGGATTTTTATAAAATTGAGAGGAAGAAGAGCGAATGTTCGGCGCTTTAACCGGGTTGGTGGATACGGAGGATCCACTTGGGGGAGTTGGAAAACCCTGATTCCAAACCAGTGGTGCACATGGGTTCCATTATCCTTAAGGGAAAAACGGCGTATGAACCAGTTGTTGGTCACCAGCTCCATGGGACTGCATCTCCTAACGTTGCTCCACATCCTTGCGGACTAGACCTACAAATCAAAGGCTCGGGAGTGGCCTCTAAGAAAACCATCTGCTTCGGTTTCGGCACCCGGGCAATATTCCAGCCCTCACAAAAATCAAATGATTTGTGTGGCGCATATATATATGGTGATTCGTACCAATGTTTATGTGTTCAAATAAACAAATAACCCATGGTATAAGATATAAAACTTGTTAATACTGTAGGCCCGGATGAGAGTCAAAGAAATAATGAAGACAAGATCACGGTATATATATATATATATATATATATATATATATATATATATATATATATATATATAGAGAGAGAGAGAGAGAGAGAGAGAGAGAGAGTGGAAATGAAGAACTCCGTGAAGCAAAATAAAAACTTACATTTCGTGAAATTTGTTCTAATGTTTTCTGACTTTCAATTTTTGAAAAGTATGCGTCCACTGCCTATGCAAATTTTTAGTAACAAGCAGAAAATAAAACTATCAACTTTTAGTTTCTCATACATTTAAATGTTGATATGAATGCATTGTACGCATCATTTATATAAACAAGAACTAAACTTATTGGCTTATATGTGGATCATAAGCAATGTCGAACCTGGTATACACGTGGATTAGTTTAAGTTGCTTGTGTGTAGCTGAGAACAAAGCAGCGAGATATAATGAATTCATCGTATCTTTCAAACATTGTTATTTGCGCTTTAAATTTACAAGGCATTTAGATAATAATACTTCCTACACAAACAAACCTAACAGACATATTATACATCCTTGATGATGATCAGATATATTGTCACACAACAAAATGAACACAAGACAATTCATTGAAGTGAAAAATTCACATTAGGAATTCTCAGCTCACCTTATTGAAACTATCAAATACTAAGTGAGGTTTATCTCGATATTGTTCGAATATGAATGGGTGAAATTCTTCATAACTGAAATAAATAAAAGATCTTTGAGCAAATAAAGAAAAGCTTTACTGAATGACATTATTATCATCAAATGGATACATGAGTCCGAGTCTATTTTGGTACCACTTAAAAACCGAGTACAGATCCACGTAGTAGGTTGTTACTTAGATACCCCAATAAAAGTGAAGGAACATGAACCTGTTGTGTCTATTAAATGTTTGACTGACCCCCAAATCCATAGACATTTAGTGAGAGAACAAAGAGTGGTAATAAGGATTTATTTGACTCCCGGGATAAATCACAAAGATATATGAATAAACTACTCTTTATATGATTTATTTAGTCAGATTAACAATCAGATCTGTATAATTTGACTGAGTAGTACTTAACATCAATTATTCAATAACTTACTATGAGGGCACATATTTGTAATATTATGCTGATCGATTTCCACATGGACTTGATTTTACTCGTTTGATCTTGTCATAAAACAAATAGGTTTAACTGAAAGTGTTGGAATGGAAATCAATTATTTCCCCTTCGTAAGTAGTATGTAAACTCCAAACGGTGTTTGAATTTTGGTGGTTGGCATCCTCTTGTAACTGCGCTCATCCGATTGTCATAACTGAAAGTTAAAGCTGGACGTCTATAATCTATCACCAATCCTTAAGATACTTTATTACCAATATGACCATATGAGTTGAGAGTAACAAAACATTTAGCGCTGATTATGTGACCATTCAATTAATAAACACCTTTGAATAGTACACAGAGGGTCCTTGTAATGTGGTCATAAATAATATGAATACTTGTAAACTGATCATTAATAAAATGAACACTGTTAGCACAATCACTAGTAACATGAGTACTTGTTACATTAGCACTAACATAATGAATATTTGACTGACCAACCTCCCGATGAGGTTTACACTAAACGAATGTGACATCAAAAATAGTTTCCAATTGCCATTTAATAATTTGATCCCATATGAAGTAAAGCGAGATTATAAACCCGAGGTTAGGGTTACTGAAAGTTAATTCCCGGACGGGTTACCAGTATATGAAACTGCTGACAGTAGTGGCCTACCTGGGTAGTTGGTGCCGACATAAGAAGAGTTAGTAACATGGTTTACCAAAAAAATGTCTGACGCAACACATGAATCATATGCGGTCTAGAAAGCTTACACTAATTAAGAAATACCCTAGGCCCAAACATTGGACTATCTTGTTGATACGGTCTATCGGGAACAACCAAGCCGAAGCATCAGAAACAATAACCGGACCTAGAAAATACCACAAAGAGTCTCCATCCCTAATACCTTCAGTTGAGTCAGAGAAGTCGGATCGATTTTCAGGAAAGGAACGTAAGATGAAAGCATCAACACAGAAAAATCAAGTTCATGTGGAAATCGATAAGTATAATATTACAAATATGTGTCCTCATAGTAAGTTATTGAATAACTGATGTTAAATACTACTCAGTCAAATTATACAGATCTGATTGTTAATCTGACTAAATAAATCATATAAAGAGTAGTTTATTCATATATCTTTGTGATTTATCCCGGGGGTCAAATAAATCCTTATTACCACTCTTTGTTCATAATATTCTAGATATAACAAGCACATTATTGACACCTTATCTTATATAACTTCCATAGGGCTAGTTATATAGGCCGTACTTAAAAAGCCTTATCCTTGCACGTTCATGTGTCTACATACTAGTGTAAGCAAGATACCCGTTTGTCAAATAAGAAGGGTATAACGTTCAGTGGTCCATTCAGTATTACTCTATGAGAGTGGAAAGGGCTGTGAAAGTAGATGTGCACAGGATGTACTTTTTTACAACAGTTTTCTTTAAAGTATTTGTCAGAACGACTGAATGAGAAATGATCTAGGTAGGTAAAGAGTAATTAGGAAAGATTGCAAATTGGTCAACGAGGCTGCGAGTCAGAATTCGCTAAGGTGGTTAGGATATATATGTTACACAAGCTCAACTACCGCCCATCTCATGTGCACAAATAGCTGCAGTAGTAGTAAGTCGGAAGATGTACTTCACATACAGTCAAAAATCTTAGTATTATTCACAACCAAAATTCATATGAGATTAGAGCTCTTTGAAAAAATTAAACAACAACCCTTTTGGACATGATGATAACAAAGAAAATAATCTGCTCTAGACATACGAATATTCGAAAATAGAGCCCCAAGAAGACCCGATAAACACTAGTTGGTTATGTAGTATTAGTACGCAACGAATAACTAAAAACCTCCTTTAAAACATCTTACGTTCGCAAACCTTCGTCCGAAGATTGATAGGATTTCCCAAATATATAACCATGTGGAGTCGTTTGACGGTTACATAAGAATGGTTCTAGTAAAATATCTCTCAAAGCCACAGCGAAGTGTTTGACATACAACTCCATCAAGTCTTCTTTTTCGGATTGTAGCTGGAAATCTTCTTTATGATGCTTTATCTGTTTGACTTTGTTTTCGGCTATACGCATGCAGTGTTCTATGATGACGCTGCCATAAGCTAAATCCGGAGATGAATAAATTGGCATTTACTTACGTAATTCCAAAGATAACCTTTTGTTTATGGAAGGGTCGTCACATGTTTTTGTATTGGAAGTCCAAGGTCCCTTAGATGATTGGAATAATGGAGTGAGGAAATTCTCGATATCCTTTAAAGATTTTTGGTCTTTTAATTCGCGAAAACATTCCAGGATCTGACGACAGGAAGTTATAGGATACTTCTCGTGGGCTGCAAATCGAATATTCTGATTTTTATCAGTTCGGGGACGCAGCAAGTGAAGGATCGTAAATGAGTCATCAGTAAGAAGCATATTCCCCTATAAAGTTACGAAGTATTTCATGAGAATAATTGGGAGATAAACTTTACAGAAAACGACCGGGTGAGTGGTGGAAAATTGCAAAACTAAAGTTTTTAAGATATTCAGCATGAGACCAGAATAATATGGGCGAATACGTATATGTAATGAAATCCGGTGTGTTTCGGTAAACGGACTAGATCAATGTTACGGAGGGGAGCTTTATAGTTTGATGAGACGAATCTTCAACTGTTGAAATGAAAAAACAAAATGCAATGATACGGTATGGTCGAGTGATGGCTGTCCATGAGATCGTATTATTCGGGCAATCCTCCAAATGCTTTAATTTGAAATACAAGATCACCAACTAGAATAATGAGCTTATAGGTAATAAAATGACGTGCTTATATATAAGACATTGAGAACAAACGGCATAAGAGCGAACGATCGTTTTCGATAAGTTCTGCATCAGGCTTTGGAGTCGAAGATCTAGAATTATTATTGTGTCACAATAGATAGTATTAAAGTTTAATTAATTGATCTTATAGGTCGGGAATGGCAAACTTCGAGTTGATTGAGCTTTAACTGCTACAAAACATTAACGCGAAATAGGAATGATACATCAGGCGATTGAAGTTAGTTTGTGTACCATTAACTCTCGAATCAATTGAGGAATGTTAGTTAAGTTTAATTCTTGGGCACTATTAATTACAGGTCCAGTCGAATGGAGGCAACATAGAACCTGGCACGTTCACATTGATTCAAGTTACCATACCCCTATTAGCATGATGAGATGAAATAATCAAGATGAATTCAAGAGTAGTAGAGATGGTAACTGTATTGGTGGTAATACGAGACAATAGACAAGATACAGAGGTAGGGCATTTGAGAGCACAAGGCTAACACATTACCAACTTATTGCAGAAAGGTCATATGTCACGAGCCTTAAGCTTGTATCTTCTAGGTGCTTCAGACACATTTTCAGATAGTTACGAACACTACCAATCCAGTTTCCTTTTTAGGTCCGCTGAGAAGAAATATCCTCTCGTGTTGTGAGGAGCCAGGAATTGATAGCAGCTCTACTGTCCGACAGAACTCGACATCCGCTTGTTTACGATAAAATCTCTTCGTCACTTCTGAGCAACAGTTTCAAATTAATGGCTAGGTCGACAAATGACCCATTGGTGCATTATCGACAGTTTGAATAACTCACCAAGGTGTTAGTCAGTCAGTGATACAAATACCATCCAAACAGTGACTATAAAGAAAACGTTTGTTCGGAAAACTACATTACAAGCATTTAGAAAAAGACTAAGCTTTAAATAAATATTCTTCTGTAGCTTGACGGACTATTGAATAGTTTTGGATGGAATACTGTCATGATTGAGACAACCTTACTAACGAATTTAGGAAAGGTCGTTAAGATTTATGAGATACTTGAGTAAACGATTTGAGTTACCAGTACAATAATTTCGTGTAACTCATTAGCAGCCAACGTGACCTTTAATGGTCAATGTCCATTGGCGCATAATCGGATCAGAAGAAAGCTATGTTCAATCAAATTAAGTTGCAGCAACAGTCCATGCAGTTATTAAATATTAGTCGAAAAGAATCAAGAGGTGCAGACTACTAGTTGAGATCTTGAGGGACAATCAAGACCTTTGATTGAAGGTAATTCGTGACATCGTTTAAAATCAGTTGCGAAGGAGCAGGCGAAACAAACCTTGGTAAAATTTTCCAATTTCTAGCTTCAATATTACTTAAGTTTATATTCTTCTTTCTCTTGGAGGCATATTTTTCGAAGACTGGTTGATTTTTACAACGACACTACTATTGTTTTAATTTTTTCAATGTATTATTCCGTTTCCTCTTTTTATACTGGCTTAGTGTGGGAGCTTATGCCGTTGAACTGTGTCAAATTCTATAGAGGTCATCAATAAAACAAGTTATTGAGTGCTATTACAGAATTGGTCTGGGTATTAAGGTCCACGTCCATTCCCATCAAATCAGTTAACAAACTTAAATCGTGTAAGATGTGGGGTTGCTGTATGAATTCATGTATACTGCATCATGACGGATCATAATATACTTCAGGAAATTGACTCTAACAAAAAACGTGGAATGTCACTGCTACACGATCACCTACGGTTAGACCTAGTACAATTCAAATAGCTATGAGGATGTCTGGGAAATAAGAATTTTTACGTATTTGTTGATTTTGTATCAAAAACTTAAACTGACCGTATTGTCAGTAAACAAGTGTGAAGTGATGTCACAAGGATACTTGCGAGGAAGCCTACACTCAAACTTCACTTACCCGATCGTACAACTCCACAATTAAATGATAAGCAGACGACTCATAACCAATCTGGATATCAACAACGCGATCGGCTCCGACTTGGGAGATATCAACGATCTTCTTGTTTCGTATGTGTTTACGCAGCTGTAATTAAAAGCATTTAAGATAGGAATAATTAAAGACCATTCAATTCATACAATTGATTTTTACACAGGATATGCATTAATGTTAATAAGTGAGTTAATTAACACACCTTCATGGAAAATCCTGACGGCATGATATTTTTAGGCCAGTCAAAATCAGTAATATGTAAGCGTGAGCCAGATTCTAAAAGCAATATCGTTTTGTCGTCAGACTTCGTGCTGAAGGAAAAACATAACTTAAAAATGAATAATTACCTAGCAAGTTTTAAAAGATATGTTTTATTGTCCACATCGTATATATTATTGACCCTGTAACCCAGTATTCTTAACCATGAGATTTTTTATTCTGAATAAACTTACTGATTTTTTATTTCTGAAACAGATACCATTACGTCAAATGTCGTGTACAAAAGCTTCATTCTCGCACATATGTAACGCAACAATTCCTTTATGTCAACGTTCATTCACATTTGTCCTTGAACAGTTTCAGATTTTCAGAGTCAAATTTGTGTAGTAGGGACAGCAGACCTACGATCCAAGTTGGTCTTTTCTAGCACGTTTCTGTGAGAGTTTGCCCTTCTCTCGAATGAATAAAATGAAAGTGCGGACACCAATGAGTCGGATATCGTAGCGTGACACAGCTACCAAAATTTGATGGCTCTGTGTGAAGACCTGTGTGCCATGTATATTTTGTCTGTTCATGACCTTTTCTTGTATTTTTACGAAATAATGATTCCTTTGTACTTGATTACAACTTGATTACGAATACGATACGATCCCCAAACAACACAAAAAGGGGAAATAAAGGGGTAAATGCTATGGTAGCGAAAGGGGAAATATAGGGGAAAACGCGCCAGAATGTCGTCTTTTTCGCCTGTCCGGGGGAAATAATGCGGAATGATCATTCCTGCTGAATATAATTTGCTAGCTCATGGCTTTTCTACTCACCTGCTATATACTCTGAGTTGTCCAGATTTGAAAAGAAGGAATTGAGAGGATATATCAATTCCAAAATCACCTCTTATGAATTCATAGGTCAAAATTAGATCATCACTCAATCTTTGGTAGAACAGATGAAATAGGTCTAACTATTCAAACCGCTCGATGTATGGCAAACCCCGGAGTTCTGGAACTGCACGGGTTGCTGCTCTCTGTACTTTTTCCAGAATATCCAAATCATCTTTTAAACAGTGAATTGCACCCTAAACGCAGTCTTCAGGTTTGGTTCTCACTAAGGTTGTGCATACGTTATTATCTAACTTGGTGAATGTCCGTCTTGAAGCATGTACGGTTCTCAACCCTATAGCTGCAACCTCACGGTAGTTGATCATGGTCTTAAGACAATGACTCACTGTCTGCACAAGGTCGTTGTGAAACCGAACCATGGGTATAGACTTTTTCCCTATGTGGTACTTAGTTACATTCGTTCAAATGGTTCAAATGGTTGTGGACGGAATAGAAGAAGCTTTCGCTTAACAGGCTTCCGTGTCTAGTACAGGGGATCACCAAATCCTCCAGGCAGGAACCTAGGTATGTAAACAATAAAAGAGGAAAAGAAATTGGTAAATCATAGTGTGATGCTGTCCTTGGTTCTTAGGAATAGGTCAAGTTGCCTCTTGAAAGACTCCTGAGAAGTCGCTTGGACTAGCTCGGCTCGTATCCCGAATGTGCATGCAGACTCACTGGGCTGCGTTGATAGGTACCAGCCACTTTATTTAGACCAGCTAACCACAATAGTTAATTCTGCCTCAAGTGCACATGCACCTGTGTCTCGATTTTATTTCTCGCCAAATGTTTACATCATCAGCGTTTTAGGAAACAATTTCCTACAGGTGTAATTCCAAGCTATACTCCCGACTGTCAATCACAGAGTCTTGGTTTAGCCAAAGTCAAGACAAGTAAGCAAAACGGCTCGACAAAATTTATTTGCTCCTAAAACATAAATAAATACCGTAAGTATTCAAAATAAACGGTACAGTTCATTAAACATAATTTACATATCGAACAGTAACTAGAGGTTAGTAAAGATGCCACAGGTATTTGGAGTTTGACAGCGCTCTAAACAGTAACACCTGTGAATCAAACACACCAAGTGAAATCAAAAGGCAGAAGCGAAGAGGTTCGAAGACGTATTTGATAGGCCATCAATATATCGAAGAGTGACTGATCCAGGCTGGCTAGCGTTTGCAGGGGATGTTGAGCACGGCGTTCACACTCGTAATCTGGTGCGGATGGCTGCAATTAAACGCAACTCAATTTCGTAAATGTGCCCTTCAGCTTAGCAACCAATCAGAATGAGGCGGGAAGTATTACATCCGCCATCTTTGCAAGCAATGGCGGTCGGTCGTTCTGTGCATCTTTCAGCTATTTCTTTTGTGAAGTTATGTAATCTAATGTCTCAGTGTGTTAAAATGCCGCAGTTAGTGTAATGTTCTTTATGTTGGTGTGAAGCTTATTTCGAATCAGCGATGTTTTCTGGGTTTTTGTTGCTCCTACTCAAGTCAATGTATTTCTTCAGGCAATCTGGCTAGTCTTGTGTTATAAAATGTCGGCCGACTTTCTTCGTTCTGTGGTTTTTCCGCTATTTCTTTTGTGTAGCTACAGAATTTAATGCTTCAGTGTGCTAAAATCCAAAAGTTATTAATAATATATATTTCTGCATTTGCAGGTACACACCGTTTTTACAGGCATGATCTATAAATTACAACATTTGTTGGTTCGCAAAATGCTTCCCAACGTATTAATTTTATAGTTGTTATAAAGTGAAGTCGTAGAGCGCTTGCTGTAAACTATGACCTTGAAAGGACGCGTACGTTAAGTTTGTTCCAAACGTCAGGAGTTTCATAGCTGTGCTCTCAGAGCAAGATTCTGAAGGAGAAAAAAAGAGAAACAGAAGAGCGACAAGGCACTTGGATATGAACGCCAAAGGTTGCTTAACATTGTGTAGTAGAACGGACAGAGGTATAATAAATCAGAATAAATTCATATAATGTCTTGTTAGAGTGAAGTGAAGTCAGAGGCTCCATATTAGAGAATGTACTAATAAAGAACAATGAGTTGTGATGTTTAACAAGTTGGAGTAAGCTCACATGAGGGAAGGGAAGTCAAGGTTGGTACAAGGGAAGCGGTTTATTCGAAGGGTGTATGTATAGAGGATGAAATGTTAAGAATACTAGTGACTATATCTTTTATTGTTTTTTTTCTTTTCTTTTTTTGTCCATTCGATGTCAACCACGCAATCCTAGTGTAAAAGTCCGAGTTCGCATGTTATAGGTTGTCTTAGTAGAATAGCTAATCCAGCATAATATTGGAAACATGAGTCTGAATGGTGAGCGTAGGAAGACAATCTATATCTTAGATTGACTGTCTTATTTTCAATTATAAAGAGCCTGATACATACAAAATTTTCTGTCCCCACAAACACGGGTGGATTGAAGTTATCACCCTCACCATCAATGCTTGCTGGTCAGTAACTCCACCCTCCCTTTTTTTGTGATGTTAGGCTCATTTAGGCTTATTTTTGTATATAAGTCATACCTCACACAATTCTCTGTGTTTCACAACGTATTGGAAAGCACTATTTCTATAAGTACCATTTTACAAGCTTATTAGGCAGTTACAAGCTATGGACTGTGGGTAAAGCATCGATGCAGTGCCTCTGTTGACTATAGTATAAATTATAGTTTTCCAATCAGAGTATAAGCGTTAAGAAGGGTATATTGTAGGATAGTTGTTTATTTAAGCAGGCGGAAAAAGTATAGAAGTATGAGTTGTGGATAAGGGAACGAGTGGAGAAATAATATTAATTGCTAGTCAACATAGTGTACAGAAGAGTAAAAAGTTAATACAGGATAAACAGGAAAGGAACTCACAGTAACTTGGTGCTGATGTTATTTTCTGTTGTCTTAACCAGTTGATTGGTAACAGGTTCCATAGATGCAAGACCGCTGGTAGTACGCAGCCGACTGTGCGGTCCTCTTGAATTTTTAGGGTGGTAGTGAATGTCCCTTATCGACCGAGTTTAGTTTAACAGTAATGATAGGTCCAGTGAGTTACCTGTCTACTTCAAGTGAAGAAACGGGGTGGAAAAAGTAATTAATACAACTGCAAAGTAGGAAAAATAAGGCAAACTGAACTTGAAGTCCATTTTGGTCTAGACATGGAGAGAGCCTATTATGTCTGAGTGGGGCGCAGATGTGTTCGTACGTGCAAGATCAGTGCGAGTGAGGGCCTGATCAAGCAGTTTCACAAACGTTTGTAGTTCATCTGCCATGCGAGTCTCGGAGGGAAGACTGTTCCATATTATTGCATACTTGGTGAGGAAGAAGTTTTCCCGAGTTTTTGATCTGTATTTCTCAACTTTGACCGTAGATACTTTGTTTGGAAGTCCGTATTCATGTGAATCTCGGGCAAGAATTATCTGACATGTTGAATAAGTAAGGTTTTTGAGTTAGTGTAATACTCTAAACGTTGGAGCAAAATTTTTCCTGATTTCGCTTTGTTTTCTGGGTTTTACCTGCTGCTACTGAAGTCACTGTATTTATTCAGCTAAGCTGGCTAGTACAAACATAAGACCTTACGTTTTTAAACGACAATCGGTTATGTTTTACCTTGTTTTCTAGATATCCAAAGCCGAAGTTCGTTTTTATTTAGCTAAAATAATTGTTGCTGCCGCCTGTGACTCTAACTGTTCGCATGTTCGTTCCTAACTGTCCTTTATGATGTTATCGGCAAAATGAAAGGAAACAATCTGCGTTTTTTAAATTTTCTTCAGTATTATGGACAACACTATCCCGCCAACGAGTCAAACGAACACAGAGTGCCCAGCAGTAGGGTATATCGGTATTGATTTCGAAAGGATTCAGACATCCGACAACTATAGATGAAGTCACAGATGCTACCAATCTATTGCAGAGGGTTTGTTATGAAAAATATGCCATATAGCAGTAATAGAGCGGTTGTACTCATTACGCAGTGCGTTAAAGCAAGCTTAACATTGAAAAGCCGGAAATCTGCTACCAGTGTGAAGTGTATGTTCGCTGTTTTGGCCATAAAAGGAAGTTGAAGGGTTATGATCAGGGAGTAAAAAGGTAATTAACTGATATTAGGCTCACTTTTTATAGATCATATTTCACCACTCGCAAATATGCTTTTTCTTACGGTATGATGTTGATGATGTCACAGGTATTCAGTGTTTGACAACGCTTCTACCAGTAACACCTTCTAATATATTTCGTTCCCGCCCAGAGAAATCAAAAGACAGAGTCGAGGAGATTGGAAGAGTATATTTGGCGATGACCAATATATCGGAATTCTCTGATCTAATCTGGCTAGTGATTGCGGTTGATGTTGAGCACGGCGTTACCACACGTGATCTGGTGCAGATGCCTGACCGAGCGCCTTCAGCTAGATGAGTCCACTAAAACATATGGTCAGCATCCAATGTCGAAAACTT